GACTTCTCGAAAGACAAATCCACCGTTCATCTTAAGCCACAGGAGTGATCCCATCACGGTACAGTCGAGCTATCGACTATAAACTAGCGCTAGATGGGAGGCAACCCATCATTTCTGCCCTTTTACTTATTTTTCTTTATGCAGTTATTTTAGCAATTTTCTTTTTTTATGCATTTTGGTAGTTCTAGGTCAGCGATCATTTAGTTAGTTCACAAAGCATCCATGCATAATCCATACTAGTTCTGAATATATTATCCATGTCGTAGTGTTAGAATCATTTTTGGGTGAGTGGGAACCAACACTCACACTTCTTTAGGCAAAAAGACATTTTTTAAGTTTTCCAGACCAACAGAGGATTTTTGATTGAGTGTAGTCTTTACATGTGTCATCACAACCCATACGCACCTCGGGTAGTTTCAATTGTGATTGGATACCTGTTGGGAGTATTGGATGTACGGGGTGGGCTCATTGACCAACATTTAGGATTTTGAGGTCAAACTGTGTTTTTGTGTTACAACATGCTTTTGCAAACCACGTTCTTGCATCCACATGCAAATCAAGGTTTAAAATAGGTTTGGACAGGTTACACGAGCTCTGGAATGATATTTGGGCAATGTGGGGGTGAAAAGAGGTTTTTGGTGAAAATTGAATTGTTTCCATGTTTTTCTCTTCTTTTAAACTTGCTACCCTGCTCATCAACCTAAGCAATCCTTTAGAGTGCAAGCATGATCCCACATTGTTTATAACATGTCGAGAAGCAATCTAGGGGAGTTCACATGGTCATCTATCAATTGTGTGCAAAATTCGCGTGTTTCGGGGCAAAAAGAAGCAAGTTTTGTATTTTGGGGAATCCACTTGATTTTTTTTTTAAAAATTGCTTTTGGAGTGAAATTCATGGCCCACACGCACACATAGTATTTTGTAATGAATGTGAGAGCATCGATGCACCGAGTTGTATTGGGGGGTACAAAGCAAATTTTTCGTGAAAATCCACCTAAATTGAGTGTTCGGGGTTAATTAAGCTTTCCAGGAGTTTTCACATTTATCCACCTCATCTCACTCATTTGCACATGTTGGGCATGCAACACGAGGTATTCGGAGCCACCGGGGAGCGTTTGCATGTTCTTTGGAGATATAGGATTGAAGTTCGAAATTCTAGGAAATTTGCCCTTAGTGATTTTTGTCGACTGCAACATGATTTGCAAAGTTTTCCATAGAATTATACTCCTTGCATGTGTTGAATTTGATGGCACGCACATCGAAGTTTGGGGGTGTCGAATGATCGAATTTGGGATTTAGTCTCCAAAACTCCAACAATTGGGCCTTTTGGTAGTCTATGCGACTGCATATACTATCCAGTCATGTGGTCGCATGACCACGTTCAGGGCCTGAATTGGCTCTGAACTGTGACTCTATGTGACCGCATAGAGTTCTTCTATGCGGTCGCATAGGGGACCTGTCGAGCCCCAAATTTCTTTTTTAAAAAACACACGCACACCCCACTTCTCTCCCCCCACATCTCTCACATCACTCACCCCCACTAACTCACACACAACCTCGACCACCACACTCCCCGTCCTTCCAATAACCCCTCGAAGCAACACAACACATTACATCACTCACACTCCCTCGTATCCATCCATCTTCACTATCTCATTTTGAGGTAATGTGGGTCTCCATTTATGTTTTGCTCTATGTATGTCTTTTAACTTTGTTTTGGGGATTTTTGATGATTGAGATGGCGTTCAGGATTAGGTAGATTATGGGTTTTGTATTGATGATTTGGGTTAAGATACAATTTTTGGTTTGATTCACACCATAGTTATTCTCACTTCCACACCTCAATTGGAATGCATACAACGTGTTCGATGAATTGTTTTTGTGGCTCTTTGTGTGACATTCCGACTCCCTTCACTATTGACATGAATGATATACAATTGCAATGGCATTTTGTGTTGCAATGTCTTGCCACATCTCGATACATACATCACAGTCACATTGGACACCACATAGG